TGTTGATATGCTAGTTTCACACGTTCTTTACAAGGAGGTGTAGGGTCACGTGATGAACATGTAACTCAATTACCAGAATTTTCTTAAGAGTATAGTAAAAGATTTAGAAAATTTAAAAAAACTCTAGTTAGACTAGATTACTAGTAGAATAAATTGTTGATTGATTATTGAGTCTTTGCTTGTTAATTCAGCACTGCAACTGTTTAGTTTCTCTTTCAATAAATTGCTAAAGTATTAGAGACTTAGAATAAGACACCCAGAAGGTGACGAACGTTATTTATTTGTAAAAGTGGGCAGATCCCTTGGTTGTCGTTGAATAATGTGAAATTTGTAGAACTTTGAATTGAACAAAATATTTAACAAAATAATGGAATACTTCGTTCTAGTTTGTTTTTATTTTTTCACCGTTTAAAAATTGTTTATCATTAGTATTTATTAATTTAACAGATAAAATATTAAATAAAAAAAGAGTTAATTTTTTGTTTTACGTTGTTTATTCATTTCACGACTAATACCAGATTTTTAACTGATGTATATGAGACAGCTTTGTTTATAACAAATTGTGTCATATACAACACGCCACAGCGTTAAACTCCTTGAACTATTTTACCAGTCTTTTATATAACCACTGACACTTAACTTAATAATTAATTCTGAGATAAAAGGGCTTAATTGAAGTTTCAATTTCAAAACTTAGTATGTTATATTATTTAACTACCGCCTGTTTATGTCTAATTACTTCTGTTGTGAGTTGTTTGGGAAAGTCGGTGATTGAGATTGGTTGTTAATACATTGACTGATGAACTGTTAAAGCCTTCGCGTGCGCGGCACCCCTGGAGAATCGTACTAAAAGGTTTGATACTAAGATAGTCGTGTAATGGAGAAGCCAGCGTACTGATTGTTGGTAATTAGTTAAATGTTCTCTTAGCTTCTGTTATCACTGTTGTGATATTTTGCCTTCCGTGTTAGATACAGTATGATAGCGACATCTATTGGAGATTAGGCGCTTAAATATAATTGTAGAACACGATGTTTTAAGACAAACCCGTATTTAGATAAAATTGTGCGTGACATTGTTTTCGCACGTCTTTTTTTTTTCTCTCAATAAAGAAGTGGCACGAAGGTTAGACTTTTATAAGTTTTGAGAGGACTTTCATCGTAAAAACTATGTTCAAATACGTCATTAAAATATCGCTTGAATTATAATATTCTGTGTTGTCTCATATCAGTGTAAACAAGATATAATAGGAATATCTTTAGTTTAAGTGTGCATATACATACGACACTCCGGACTGAGGAGTTGAGTTATTATATGAATTGGTGGGCATGTTAATGGGTAGATTAGATCTTGATCATTATTTGTTTCTGGGAGAAAGGCTGATATCTATGGAATAATCTTATCTTGAGTAAGATTTTTAAAGTTTCAGCTAACATAAGGTTCTAATACAACATTAGTTGCTTTCTTGGATGCCATTTCTATAAGGCTATGAACAATAGATACTATCTGTACGTCTTTAGTCTTGATGGCTCTCTCAAGCCTTTCATTTGGATCTTCCTGTTTTTGTCCCTCTATTCTACTCTGGTACAGTACTTGGCCACGCTTAGCAACAATGCTCATCCCTTAAAATATTGATATTATGGAAACATTACAGACAGAGACGAGACCTCTCTCAATGTCATAGGTGGACAAGAAACTCTTCATAAATTTAGACAAACTGGGATAAATAAGCTTTATAGTAGACTATTTTATCTTAAGTACATGCCCCCTAAAGTAGTCTACTCCGTGGGCCTTTGTTCTGGTACAATGAACTTCTTTTCCTTTGGACATGGGCCATTGAATGCATCATGAAATGACTGCACCAAGGTCTTTGGTTTGCTGAAACATACAATCATAGATCATAAGTTTCTTATAACACACAGGATTTGACGCTCTAAAGGTGTACATGTTGGGCAGTCCTCTTTTTATGATGCTATATGATGAGAGAGGATAGGAAATAAAATCATGACAGATTTTGTGCTGTAAACCAGCCAACAAGGAGTAAAATCTATTGGCAAGGAGTTATTTATGGCAATATCTAAGTTCCCAGTCAATTAAACATTGTTGGCAGAAGTGGGGGTTTTAAAGAGGCGAGATTTGCAAATTCAAATTACTTAAACCTATAAGTTCATTGTAATCTTGCAGAATTTCTATTCTTTAAGAAGCCCCCCAGTGGCACAGCGGTATGTCTGCGGACTTACAACGCTAGAATCCGGGTTTCGATACCTGTGGCGGGCAGAGCACAGATAGCCCATTGTGTAGCTTTGTGCTTAATTACAAACAAATAAATAATTCTTTAAGAAAAGTTATATCCAAGAATAGTTTCTTAAACTTTAAATCGGTTTTCTCACAGAACAGTTATGATTTTAGAGCTTCATATCCTTACCACCTAGCCACTGGCAACAGTATAATGTCTAATTATGAACAACACAACCATATAAGTGATGAATAACATACCTATTGAATGTTTCAAAATGTATACATTGTATCTTCAGTAAATTCTTACAGTAAATACAAACGAATGATAACAAATAATAACATGAATGTTGAAAATTTCATTTTTTTTTTTAGTCATAATAAATGAACAAGTAAATGTACCTATATAGTTACCAAGTAAGAATTACAATAAATTTTATCTAATAGAAATTATTTAAGGAGTTCCTAAATCTGTACATCCATACCTAAAACCTGAGAGTTTGAAGTCCATCGATGATATTATGTATCCAGTAGTTTCACTGTATGTGTGAGAGAGGAAGATAATAGGTAGCAACCAGTTCTGCGTGTGTTCATGGATAAGTGCAGTTAAATGGCATTTGGTTTCATCAATGTCGGTAACTTTGCACATATATATACGAATAAATGATCCATGAATGAAGTGGGGTTACTATGGAGTCCTTTGAATGAATGAAATTAAAGGAAAAAAAAAGTTGATATTATGGTTTAAAGGCAGTTCTCAGTTGAGTTTTCGTATATGATTGCGATGTAAAATTTTAGCGAGTTAATTTTTAAGAGTTAAACTCTGTTTACTCAAGTAAAGAAGGCTTAAATACACAGACTGCAAGTGCAGATGGGCAACTAACTCTGTTACCAACAAGCATTAATTAGTGTCATGCAATATCTAATCAGTTAGTCAAAATTAAAGTCTATTCAATGTCATGAAAATAATCAACTAATCCAAATTAATGTTTTGGTTACTACAGTTTTCACAATTATTACTACTGTGATTACTCATTATTATTTTTGATTAATTCAAGGTTGTTCAGCTTAATTTATAAATAATCGAGATTAGGGTTTCCAACTATTACTATTTTCAATTATTTCAACAATCCAAATCTCATGTAAAAATAATGAATTAGTTAAATGTAGCCGATTTATGAGCCCAACAATTAATCAATTACCAATTTCCACAAATTTCCCAGATCTAAATGCCAGTTTAACACCACAACTACCAGGCCCTCTGTGTTCTTGGATTTTTATTTCCTAACAATACAACTCATTAAAATGACCTTACTGATTAAAGTACAATAGTAGATAAATTTCCTAACACATATGGTCAAGTCAAATCATATGAATAACATTTAACACCTGGAAGAAATTCTACTGTTATTGTACAAGTACGTCTGCAATATACTCAAGTGATGGCCAGTTTTAAATAATAAGAGAAGAAACTGCATTGAAAGCCAGTTACATACATAATATTTTATAAAGTATTTATGTAATACATGTACAAAAACAAAGACTGGATGGTTTAAAAATGCCCTAAGTGTTTTTGGAATTTTTGGAAAATTAGAGATTACAGAAATAAATTATTAAGGCTGAAGTTGGCTAGCACAATCATTCCTATGAATGTATGTTCCATAATATAAAAACGAAGGTCGACACAATACATATACTAAAATTAAACAGTCTTGTCTAAATTTGGATGCTTAAATCCTTTAAGTTACATTAACAAAAATAAACAGAATTACGTGTACGTTCTAGTGCTAAAATTTTATTTTTGTCCTATGAAATGCATGTTCGATATTGTGTTTTAGTAACTTACATCTTACAAATATCAATAATACACACACACACACATACAATTCTATCTTTCCAAAACTTTAATATTCTGTTGGAAGTACAAGTGAAAGGAACTTAAGACAATAGTATGTAAAAATAAAAATATTTATATACATACAAACACCTATATGAGGCCTATCACATAAAATCAAAATACTTGAATATATATATACACATACACCATGCTACTATACCACTGCTGGACAGTAATCTTTGTAACACTAACTTCAAATACAGAGAACATATATATTTTGCAATAAAAAATCTTTTAGCACTCGAAATACATTGTAACCCCTCATAACAACGACCTCTGAACTGTGACATTTACTCCCAAACATATATTTATGGTAAAAAATGTCTATCTTATTTTGAAAAAAAAATTCTTTTAAACCTTTGATCACATTTTTTTTGGTAGTTCTTAGGGTACTCCAATTGTAGTCATTGTCAGGTTACAAAAACCCTCACTTGTATGAGGTATACATTTATTTTTGTTACAAAATTTTAGGAAAACTTTTTTAAGAAGGATTTCTGAAAACAACATATCAATTCAATTATCCTGTGATATCTACCTACATTACACAATATTACAATATTTCTGGATAGATTCAATATAAAAGCTAAAACCTCTCAACACAAATATACATATTTTTGTAAGCAAGTAACTGATCAAGTCAAAAACAAGTAGCACAAAAAAAATTCAAAAGTCCATCGCAACTATTATAATGTTATTAAGCCTTTACATCTTAATGATCTATGTATAATTTTAGGAGTTGATTTACTAATGCCTTTTCTTTATTTCAAAGAGAACAGGACCAAGAATCCAACATGAATCACAAAAAAAAAATAATTATAACATTCAAAAGCTTGTAATAGACTTTTATTGAACTGGTTTTGTTTAGTTTTATTAGGGAAGTGTTTTTTTTTTCTTTCTTTTATTGATTTGCGCTGTTTATCCATTATACAAAGTTTGAAATTATTGATATTACCTTAACCATTCAGTTAGTATACTGGCAACAAATAAATAGAATCCAATATTTCTGATAACTATGTTTATACAATGCTACATTTCCCTATGCGTTATTAACCAATTTGAGAAGTATATAGATACTAGGAAATGAGAAACTTTAACTTTGGTATCCAAATTATAGATATAAAGTCTTGTAAATATAATTTGAAGTTCAAAAATCTATGTAACTTTTGGTTTGGGTGGTTTTAGAAACCCAATCTTTCTCAAATACCTAACAATAAATGGTGTTGCTGAGAGAGTGACCGCTATCCGAGCAGGAGCAAACACCTTGTGAACAGCATAGGCTACCACAAACGTACCGCTACCAATGGTTAGTTTACTGTGAACAAGGTCTTCTGACAGTCCAATTTTCAACAGGAACGCTCCAACGTCTACTCCACTGGAAATGAAAAATCAAATCAATGTCTAAATACAATCAATAAACGTAGAATAATAAACATTATTAATAAGCTCAGAACACTAAAAATGTTATTACATATATTTTTGCCAGTAAGCTTGAGATAATTATTTTTATTATTAAGAACTTTTCATTACTTAATCTCTGAGGCAAAGTTATAACTGTACAACAGAAAGCAAGTTTTTCATAAAGATACTGATGTTGATTCTACATCAGACACACTTTAAAAACAACAGTATTGGCTGAAAAGCTCTCTTTCACTACAATATTTTTACGTGATGTAATTTATCTTGCATTCTTGATACAGACGTATAAAACACATTATGGTTATTCACGAAGTGAAATACATGAATCTATAGAGAACATGATTCAACACGTTTTATCCATATTCTCATGTTAGTAGTCCGTATGTCTAGATACAGATGTATAAAACACAGTATGATTATTCATGAAGTGAAATACATGAATCTATAGAGAACATGATTCAACAAGTTTTATCCATATTCTCATGTTAGTAGTCCGTATGTCTAGATACAGATGTCTAAAACACAGTATGATTATTCATGAAGTGAAATACACAAATCTATAGAGAACGTGATTCAACAAGTTTTATCCATATTCTCATGTTAGTAGTCTGTATGTCTAGATAGAGATGTGAAAAACACAGTATGATTATTCATGAAGTGAAATACATGAATCTATAGAGAACGTGATTCAACAAGTTTTATCCATATTCTCATGTTAGTAGTCTATGTCTAGATACAGATGTGTAAAACACAGTATGATTATTCACTAAGTGAAATACATGAATCTATAGAGAACATGATTCAACACGTTTTATCCATATTCTCATGTTAGTAGTCTGTATGTATTTTATTGTTAATTTTTTTTATTACTACATACACATTACTAATGAGTTATATCATACGTGTCTGGTGCTAATTTGCTAGTCTTCAATGAAGTCCTACAAAGAAATTGTGGTGGCAGAAGCTAGGATTCAATCCTGGGTCCTTGTGTTAAAACACTAAAATGCCATATCTACATGAGGAAAACATCTAAATGTTTTCTCTGAGGGCTAGCAATGATTCCTAACAAAATTTTTAATACTTTGAACTCTACAATTCATCATAACGTGATGATTGAGCTCATATTTTATGACACTACTATATATATATAGTATAGGCTGAATGACTAGCCACAAGACTTGTTGTCATGAACCACAACAGTGGTTCATAATAGAGATCACAAGGAATTGCACAAAATCCTAATAGAATGTTTGGTCAAAAAAGCACCTCAAACGGTAAAGGTTCAGTTTGAACAATACTTTAAAACCTTTACTATTAACCGCTAAGGCTGTATACATATAAAAGTGCAAAAAAAATCAAGCATGTTAGACTTGCCAGGAAAAGAAAATCCACTCAAAATGGCCCATTTGTAATTCTTATTATTATTAATCTCTTGCCAGCCTACAAAACGGTTTGGTATATTGCACCCAAACCTCAAATAGAATAATAAATAAGGTACTGCAAAGGCTGTAGTGGTATTGAAAAGTTTATATGTTTCTTCTATATTTTACATAAGCTAAAAAAAATCATAATTATAGTGTAAACGATGCTATCATTACTCTTTGAAGTTAGCTTTCTTACAAATATCTGATATTCCTTAAAAAAGTTTAAGAACAGAGTGAAACAGGAAGTACTAGCCAATAACAGATGAACATTAGATGGTTGTAACGTGTACATACTCAATACTTTGTACACTATACAGTCAGTGTCTTTATGAATCCAGCCCCTAAATTATGTATGAAGTGAAGAAGTAGAAAAACCAATACACAATATTAACTTTCATTACACACATTCATAGAATAATTACCTTAAAAGATATGAAGGTTTATTTAAAGCGATGTATTAGACGTATATATTTTCTTTGTAAAGGCTACTTTTATACTGGTAAAATTCTATATCCACTTAGTGGGGGTTGTGTCTTACACAGTAACTATAAATGCTCACTATACTCTCAAACATATCTGCAGCTTAACATGTTACATCTTGAACTAATGCGATCAAATAGTCAATAGCTACAGTAAATCATCATGAACCATATCAGCTAGCTCCTAGCTATGTTTATTATTGTTACAACGTATAAAGTTAGCTACCATATCAAGTAATCTTTTGCCCACAGATGAGCATAAAAATGCCAACAAACAAGATAAATAAATATTAAGGATTTAAAAACCTGCAAATAGGGATCATAAAAAATGTAAGCATACAAGGCTGAAGATATTGTAGACATTATTTACTCAAACTACAAATCCCTATTCTGGATCTACGCTGTCACCTAAAGTTACATTTGGTGGAGTCACATAGGGATTTGTAGTTTGAGTAAATAATGTCTACAATATTTCCAGCTTTGTTTATTTACTTTTTTTTACTATTCATATTTGCAGGTGTTTAAATTATCTTATCATATACCTAACTTGTATAACTATAAACTGATAGGGTAAACATTACTTCATAAAGTATTTTTCCTATGTCACAGCTATAATATTGTAAAGTATGATTATCTTTTGTTTTGAACAATATATTTAGTTAATTAATACACAATAAACAGCTAGGTTTTATGTTTATTTAATTTTTTGCAAGCTATTAGCGACATACATAACCAGACTAGACAACAAAACACTTTAGAAATATATGAAGAATATTCTTTAAATATTAAAAAAAAAATTATGTTCACAATGAGTATTCATTCCTAGTGTGAAAAGTGTATTTCATAGACAGATATGCATCTCTGACTAACTCACCTCTTCACCAAGGTATAAAACCCTCCTAATGATACCAAAGAAATGGCCACATGGAACACAACTACGGTACTGCCATAGTCCCTCACTGCTTGCTTTAGTCTCTCTTTCTGACTTGTAGTTTTCCCCTCACTCACATCTTGTTTGTCTTTATCAACTGTGTTTGCTTCAGACTGTGACCGTTGTTGGTATTTTGTATGCGAACTATCTAATGTTTTATAAACACAAGACAGCACATTATTTTCTATTATACACATGATAAATTTAACATTGTAATACATGGAGTTATCATAGGAAGCATTTGAAGGACTGTGATTTAGAACAGAGGCATGATTCTAACATGGGCATGTTGTAGTAACAAAAATATACCTTTCATATGCATTAGATACAGGTCTCATAAGTGAAACTGTCTTGAATAATTAGAATCTTGGTTTTAATTCTCAAAATTGTCTAAACTGAGATCATATAACACAGAAGTATGAAAGCAGTGCTTCTACTTCTATCTATGATGATATAAAAGTAGGATTTTCCAAGCTGTTAATATTATCTAATGATAATCGTGAAGACCCACCATACCACATCAAATGCATGCAAACACTTAGAACAAACATGAAAAAAACATAACGTGTATATGTACACACAAAAATAGTACAAAAGAGGTAAACAAAGGTTATAATAATACTTATACAAATATTATAAAATACCAACTTTAGGTAGTTTTATTTAATTATTTATTATGGATTGAAATATTGCCTATATAAATAGCTAATAAAATTACTTTTGTTACTAAATACTAAGTAGTACTTATTTATATCCTACATTTCGGCTGCTAAGTTTGCTGATGTCAGCAATGATGGACTATAATTGTGGTTAGTGGCTAGGATTATTGATACGATGGCTCGTGTGCTATCTTCTTGTCTCGGCTCTCTGCCAGTTGGAGACTTGAGTAAATTATTTCAATGACTTCATGAGAGATATCCAGTTTTCATTTACCTGTGTGCTATGTTGATTGAGTGTATTACCAGGGAAAGTGAGGTGGAGGATGAATACTTTTATATTTCATTTTCTAATGTGTGAATCATATCATAACCAATAATAAGGAGTTTAATGTGTGAACCATATCATAACCAGTAATATGGAGTTTAATGTGTGAACCACATCATAACCAATAATATGGAGTTTAATGTGTGAACCACATCATAACCAATAATAATATTATTGGTTATGATATGGTTCACACATTAAACTCCGGAGTTTAATGTGTGAACCATATCATAACCAATAATAAGGAGTTTAATGTGTGAACCATATCATAACCAATAATATGGAGTTTAATGTGTGAACCATATCATAACCAATAATATGGAGTTTAATGTGTGAACCATATCATAACCAATAATGCGTTTAATGTGTGAATCATATCATAACCAATAATGCGTTTAATGTGTGAATCATAT